TGCCGCTGCAGCGCCCTCGAGCTGCTATTGCTGCGAAAAGCCGCCGAGACGTTTCTGCTGCTGCAGGGCCAGCAGAAGCTGCTGCAGCGGCCTCAGCAGCGGCAGCAACAGTAGCCGCTGTGGCAGCAGGAGCTGCAGCAGCAGAGGAGGTGTCTCCCCATCGAGTGGCAGCAGCAGGCGCGAGGCTGCAGGCCCTTGCTGCTAACGCGCTGCTGCATGCAGAGCATCTTCCGCTGCAGGCGGGGGCGCTGCTGCCTCACTGGCAGCTGCTGCAGCTGCTTCCGCAGCAGCAGCAGCAGCAGCCGCTTGATCGCATGGTGACTGCAGCAGCGCTGCCGCCTCCACCGGCGCTGCTGCAGCGAACAGCGCCTGCTGCCGCAGCAGCAGCAGCTGTTTCCTCCAGCGCATCCGTTGCGCAGCAGCAGCAGCAACAACAACAATCGCAGCAGCAGCAGCAGCAACAACGAAGACGAATAAAGTTGCAGGGATCTGGATGGCGCAGTGAGCTAGCAGCGACAATGGTGGCTGCTGCAAGCAGCGACAGCGGCGCTGCAACGCTGCTGCCCACAGCAGCAGCAACAGCAGCAGCAGCAGCTCGTGTTGCTGGCTGTGTGGCTGATGATGGCAGCAGCAGCCTTGTCGGCCTCTGCGCCCTTGAAATGCAGCCGCGCCCTCTGGCTTTCTGCTGCACCGGGGGCTCCACTTTGCTGCTGCAGGTATCCATATGTTTGCAGCTGCAGCAGCAGCAGCAGCAGCAACAGCTCAACTCTCTCTTCGTTTGTGTCCACCAATCGTCTCCTCTGACGGAGCCTGCAGCAGCAGCAGCGTCAGCTGCAGCTGGGGACCCTCCAGCAGCAGTGAGCAGCAGCAGCGCAGCAGCAGCCGCTGCAGATGAGGCAGCAGCAGCAGATGCAGCAGAGTCTTCTGGGTTGCTGGAAGCAGTGATGGCCAGCAGCCACCGCAGCGTTCTCGCCGCCCCCGCCAGCAGCGCTCGCGCTGCTGCTGCTGCTGCTGCTGCTGCTGCTGCACTTAGTGCTACTTCTACAGCAGGGACAGCTCCGGTAGGCCATATGGACTTGAGATTTTTTTGCTGTGTGTGGGAAGATTTGCTGCTGCTGTTTTTGGAGCTGCTTCCACGGAGCGCCTCTGCTGCTGCTGCTGCTGCTGATGCTGCTGCAGCTGTCGGTGCGTCTGTAGCTGCTGCTGCTGCTGCTGCTGCTGCGAAGTCAGCAGCTGCTGCTCCTGCCACGTACTGCGCACGGGGCGGTTGAAGGCCAACAGCTAGTGCCTTCTGTGTTTGCTGCAGCGTAAGCAGTGCCTCTTTCCGTTTCTTTCAACCAAGAGGCGCCGAACGGCTCACAGCAGCAGCAGCAGCAGCAGCAGCAGCAGCACTAGCAGCGGCTGCAGCAGCAGACCGGAGTGCTTCTTGCACTCCATCCCCGTAGACAGTTGGAAGCGGCGCGCTTCGCATCCACCTTTGCTTCCAGCAGCTGAAAGCGTGGCAGAGAGCTGCAGCAGCAGCGGCAGCAGCAGCAGGGGGCCGGCAGGCGCTGCTGCTGCTGCTGCTGCTGCTTCTGCTGCGAGTGTGTGTGCACACCGGAAGAGGGGCTGGGAGGCCGTAGTCAGCATTCCTGTGGGGTTTTCTGGCCCAACGTCGGGCAGTGTCCCGGGTGAGGCTTTTTTGCTGCTGCTGTTGCTGCGTCGCTGCTGCTGTTGCTGCTGCTTTAGCTGCTGCTGCTGCTGCTCTAGCTCCTACTACTGCTGTTGCTTCAGCTGTTAGTTTTGCTGTTACTTTTGCTGTTGCTGTTGCTTCCTTCCATGCGAGCCTGGTGCTGCCTGCTGCTGCTTTGGCTGCTGCTGCAGTGGAGCTCGCTGTGTGCTGCTTGGAGAAGCCCCCAGACGGCGGAGCCGCTGAACTCGTAAGGCCTGCTGCTTCACGGCTGCTGCTGCTGGCGCTGCTGCTGCTGTTGCTGTTGCGCTGCGGGGGTTTGTGCTGCTGCTGCTACCTTAGAGGCTGCTGTGGGTATTGAAAGCTCATGTGGCACGTGGCAACTGCGGGGAGTGATGCCCTATTCCGCGCTTTGCTGCTGTTCCTGTTCCTGTGGCTATTGCTGCTGCTACTGCTGCTGCTGCTGCTGCTGCTACTTCAGGTGTTTGTCTCGCCAGTGCGGCGTGTGTGGGTCCGTCCATCAAGCACAGCCTGAAAGTCCCAGTTGTCCTCTTGGCTTTTTTGCAGCGGGGCTGCTGCTGCTGAAGCTGCGGCTCTGTTGCTGCAGCAGCTCCGCAGCTGCTGTTGCAGCAGCTCCGCAGCTGCTGCAGCAGCTATCATGCTGCTGCGCTGTCGGCCTCCCCTGTCACCCATAGCATGCACGACGAGACCCACGCTGAAACGTTTAGCAGAGAAGCAAACTCTAAGTAAGGTTTGCCCTAGCAGCAGCAGCAGCTGCAGCAACGGCTGCAGCAGCAGCAGCGGCGGGTTCTGCAGCAGCAGCAACGCCAAAATAAGGCACCTGCCTCTTTGTTGCAGCCTTCCTACAGTAGGCACTGAAGCGCCCGAAGACCTAGCTGCTAATTAGCTGTGTAGCTAGCCACTAGCTGGGCAGCTAGCCACTGCTTCCTAGCTAGCCAGGAGCTGCGTCGCTAGCCACTCTCTGTGCACGCCGCCGTGATTTTTACCAGCTACGCAGCAGCAGCTAGCTGCGCAGCTTGCTGCGGAGCGACAGCTAGCTGCGGAGCGACGGCTAGCTGCTGCTCTGCAGCTAGCTGCTGCGGAGCGACAGCTAGCTGCTGCTCTGCAGCTAGCTGCTGCGGAGCGACAGCTAGCTGCTGCTCTGCAGCTAGCTGCACCGGCTGCGAACTGCTGATACGCACCTAGCGGCGCCGGCAGCAGTTATCAGCTCTTGCTGCGCAGCTAGTTGCTGCTCTGCAGCTAGCTGCGCGGCTAGCTGCTGCTCTGCAGCTAGCTGTGCCGACAGCAGTTATCAGCATTTGGCTGCTAGCTTGAGTTTGCTAGCAATGCCCAGCTAGCTACGAGAGCTCCCAGCTAGCTACCAGAATTACTAGCTAGCTACAGGTGCCTCCAGCTAGCTGCATGCACTCCCAGCTAGCTGCCAGCAGCCCCAGCCAGCGGCGAGTTCCCCAGCTAGCTGCTGCAGTTAGGCGCACTGTTTGCAAGTAGGAAGGAAAGAGCCGCTGCCTGTGTAAACCTGAGCAGCAGCAGCAGCAGGCGAAGCAGCAGCAGCGGCTGCAGCACCAGCAGCATCAGGCGCTGCAGCACGAGCTGCAGCAGGCGCAGCAGCAGCGGGCGCTCCAGCAGCAACTGCTGCTGGGTAGACTGCACAGACGGACTGCGCACGGAAACGTCCCATTAAGTTGCAGAATTTCATGTGTAGCTGCTGGCTAGCTGCCCAACTAGCTGGCTGGCTAGCTGGCTGGCTAGCTTGCCAACTAGCTAGCCTTCTAGCTAGTTAGCTGCCACACTGGTGGTCACTGGCTCGCTGCTGCGTTTTGGAAGCTGCTGCTGCTGCTGCTGCGTTCTGGAAGCTGCTGCTGCTGCTGTTGCTTCCAGCAGGAGGCTCTGAGGAGCGCAACTACTGGTGGCTGTGTGGCTCCGGGGCTTTATTCGTTACACGTTTGCTGCTGCGCTGCTGCTGCTAGTGTCTAGCGGCGTCATTTTGCTGCTGTTTACTGCTGTGTTTCGTTCGTCTGCGTGTGTCGTGCTGCTATTTCTGCGCTGCTGTTGCTGCTGCTGCTGCTGTTCCACTGCGCGTGTCTTCCCCGAAGCTCCACACACAGCGCCTGCATGCGCCAGGAGCTTCATTAGGCGCCAGCTGCGTCTGTGGGGCCCTTGGCTTCCCTAGCAGACACAGCAGCAGCAGCAGCAACAGCGAGGTTCTACGCGAGCAACGGGCAGCCGCAGCATCAGGGGTAGCAGAGCAGCAGCTGCAGCTGCAGCACAGCAATTAGCTGCGGGTTGTCCCAATTTAAGTTCGGATCATGGGGGCTACACAGCCTCCAGACAAACGCTGCAGCAAAGCCGGCTCAATACGTTGCTGCAGCGGCGCTGCCGCTGCTGTTGCAGGCTCGTAGGTTTGCTGCTGCAGCAGCAAGGACACAGCATCACTGCTCCTCTATAGCTCCAACTTCTACTTTTTTGTCGCTGCTGTGAGCATTAGCAGCAGCAATGCGTAGGGCCGCCACTGCCGGCGCCCCAGCTCCCTGCAGCAGCAGCAGCAGCAGTAGCAGCAGCAGCTGCTGCTGCTACTGGCGAGGCCCCGCGTGAAGAACTGCTTATTATTTTTTTGACTTTCCTGCTATTGGGGAAGCTCGTCCTGTCCTGGTCGTAGACAGTTTATGCACAACTCTTGCTGCTGCTGCTGCAGCACTTGAAGCAGCGGCAGCTGCAGCAGCATGTCACTGCGGCAGCTGCAGCCGCGATACTGTGGGATCGCCATTTGTAGCTACTGCTTTGCAGCAGCAACTGCAACACTTAATGCAGCAGCAGCTGCCTCACGGAGCAGCAGCAAGTTGCTGACTCGCGCCCGCCGTTGACTTGGGGGCCCCCCGCTGCAGCAGCAGAGCAGCAACAGCAGCGGCAGCAGCAGCAGCACCCTTTCCGGGACCTCCTATCAGCTTTCTATTTACTTGGTTTACTATCCTGTCTGTCCCTTGGCAGTGAAAGGTACGCAGCAGCAGCTGCTGCACCCGCAGCCGCTGCAGTTGCTGCTGCTGCAGTTGCTGCTGCTGCAGTTGCTGCGGCTCAGGTACACTGAGCATACGAATTGGTGTAGGTCTTGGCTACGTCTGGGGAGGCCAACCGCGGGAGGCGCCCGTTTGCTTCGCAGCAGCAACAACAGCAACAGCAGGAGCAGCAGCAGCAGCGGCAGCAGCAGCGAAATAAGCAGTGGAACGGCGGCGGCAGCAGCAACAGCACCCGCAGCTGCTGCCGCTGCTGCTAGCGTTGTCGCAGCCGGCGGGTAGCAGTTCCAGCCTGTCTACGGATGATGGTCCGGCGCCCTAAGTGGCGCGTGCTGCTGCTGCTGCAGCAGTTGCTGCTGCTGCTGCTGGTGCTGTCGTGGGTGCCTCCCAACGCAGCAGCAGCAGCAGCAGCAGCGACAGCAGCAGACGCAGCAGCAACAGGTCCTGTGCGGGAAGTGGATCGCGTAGAAATAGATGACGACGAGGCGTTCACAGACTTCAGTGACGAGGGAGAGGAGTTGCTGCTGCCCGGCAGCAGCAGCAGCAGCAGCAGCAGCAGCAGCGGCGGCGGCGGGTCTGAGGAGGAGGGCAGCAGCGGGGACGCAGAGGACGAGGCGGAGTCCGAGGAGCAGCTGCTGGACGCCGACAGCAGCAGCAGCAGCAGCAGCAGCAGCAGCAGCAGCAGCAGCAGCCCGGAGGAGTGGCTGGCGGAAATTGAAGAAGCAATTTCCAATGGAGCCACTCACCGGATTTACTACAGCAGCGAAGAAGAGCGGTTCTACAGCGCGGAGGTGGACGGCGGCGAGGTGCTGCTGCTGCTGCGGCAGCTGAAGCCGCAGCTGCTGCAGCACTGGCAGCAGCAGCAGCAGCAGCAGCAGCAGCAGCAGCTCGAGGCCGCCTGGACCCGCATCGAACAGGAAGTGCTGCTGCGCGCAGCTCTCCACAAAAGAGATGTTTATCCTCAGTCTTGGTTTTCTCCTTTATATCCCGAAGATGGAATTCAAACTGGCGCTTTGCTGACGCCGCTGCAGCAGCACGAAGTCGACGAACACGAGGCCGTCGAGCGCGAGCGCCAGCTGTGCGCTTTCCTGCTGCTGCTGCTGCTGCTGCTGCGCTGCTGCTGCTGCTGCTGCTGCGCCTGCTGCTGTGCTGCTGCTGCTCCTGCTGCTGCTGCTGCTGTGCTGCTGCTGCTGCTGCTGCTGCTGCTGTGCTGCTGCTGCTGCTGCTGCTGCGCCTGCTGCTGTGCTGCTGCTGCTCCTGCTGCGGCGCCTGCTGCGGCGCCTGCTGCTGCGCATGCTGCGGCGAGTGCTTCTGGGCTTGCTGCTGTGCTTGCTGCTGCGCCTGCTGCTGCGCTTGCTGCTGCTCCTGGTGCTGCGCCTGCTGCTCCTCCTGCTGCTGCCCAGCGCTCCTGTGATCCTCAGTCTGCTGCTGCTGCTGCTTATTCTGCTGCTGCGGCTGCTCATCCTCGTTCTGCTGCTGCTGCTCCTCCTGATTCTGCCGCTGCTACTGCTCATCATCTTGCTGCTGCTGCTGCTCATCTTGCTGCTGCTGCTGCTCATCATTCTGCAGTTGCTGCTGATGATCATTTCTGCTGCTGCTGCGGATTCGGCTGCTGCGGCTGCTGCTCCGGATGCGCAGGCTAAGGGCCCTCGTCGTGGACCTGCTGCAGAGGGAGCAGAAGACAGAGGAAGCAAAAGACTCACACAGCAGCAGCAGCAGCAGCAGCAGCAGCAGCAGCAGCACGACGAGCAGCAGCACGCGGTCGCCAGGAGTTTCCGTGCCGACGCATCCAAGCGACTCGGCGCCTTCCACTGCTGCAGCAGCAACAGCAGCAAATGCGGCAGCGCCAACTGCAGCACCTGCAGCAGCTGCTGCTGCCACTCCGCTTGCTGCTGCTGCTGCTCCTGATAGTTTGCTGCAGCCTCCCCACGGCGCAGCATCATCTCTCTCCTCTCGCACCACTGCTGCAGAAACAGGGAGCTCTCCTGCTGCAACAGCTGCTGCTCTCCAAGGGGACGGCCCGAAGAAGGGCCGCAGCAGCAGCAGCAGCAACGGCAGCAGCAGCAGCAGCAGCAACGGCGACGTGCCTGTGCTGTTTGTGCCGGATGATGCGCTCGACTTCGCAGCTCTCTTTGCTGCTGGGCGGATGTCTTTGCTGCAGGCAGGCCAGAGGAGCAGAAGCAGCAGCAGCAGCAAGAACAGCAGCAGCGAAGCAGCAGCAGCGCTGAGTGCAGAGGAGGCTGCGTTTGCTGCAGCTCGAGCTGCAGCAAAAGAAAGAGAAGGCGTGGGTCGTTTAGTGACCAGCTTCGGAGACGCCTACTACTACTTGCGGCTGCTGCTGCGGCTGCCGCAGCAGCAGCAGCAGCAGCAGCAGCAGCAGCAGCAGCGGCAGCGGGAGGAGGACGAAGAGGACCTGGCTTTGCTGCTGCCGGACCCGATATCCCCGGAGCCTGTGCACGGGCCCGCAGTGGCTGCGCAGCTGCAGCAGCTGCCGCGGGGGAAGCAGCAAGTGCTGCGAGCAGCAGCAATTGGAGTTGTTGCTTTTTTGTCGCTTTTTGGAGTTGCTGATGAGGCCGGCCGTTTGCAGCTGCCTGGCGGCTGGCCGCGGGACTTCTCTTTAGCTGCCAAAGCAATTGCTGCGGGCCGCAGCGCCAAGCCCCCCTCAGCCCTCTGTCTGCTGCTTGACGGTGCGCCTGCTGCTGCTGCTGCTGCTGCTGCTGCTGCTGCTGCTGTTGCGGGGGGTGGGCGGGTGGTTTGGCTGCTGCGGGGCAGCGGCGGGCGCGCGCGGCGGCTGCTGCTGCGCTGCTGCGGCTCCTGCGCCGGCACGCGCGCTCCGCAGAGCAGGAGCTGCTGCTGCTACTGCTGCTGCTGCTGCTGCTGCTGCTGCTGCTGTGAGGGTCTGCTGCTGCTGCTGCTGCTGTGCCTCCTCAGGCTTCTTGGCAGCAATTGGTGTCCCGTCGCTGGTGCTGGGGGCTGAGGGCTGGGCGCTGCAGCACAGCCCCTCTTCGTTGACTCTCTTTCTAGCAGCAAATAAAGAAGCAGCAGCAGCACCGCCGCTGCAGCAGCCCTTCGACGCCCCGCTGCTGCACATGCCCAAGTACAGACAGGAGCAGGAGCGCCTCAGCAAAAACAGGTCAGCGCCTGCTGCAGCTGCTGCTGCTGCTGCAGCTCCTGCTGCTGCTGCAGGCCATTTTGCTGCTGGAGATGTTGCTGCAGCTGCTCTTGTTGGTGCTGTAGCTGCTGCTGCTGCTTCTAGACTTTCCGTTGCGGATCAAGCTCCTGCTGCTGATGCATTCCGTGCTGCTGATGCAGCTGTTGCGGCTGCTGCAGCAGCAGCTGCTGCTGTGGCGTTCCTGCAGCACGAGGGGCCGCGCAGTCGTTCCTTTCCGGCTCGTCTTTGCTGCTGCTTTGTCTGCTGCCGCTGCAGCAGCAGCACTTGGGGCCGGCGTGAAGGTGTGGGGTGTGGGGTGTGGGGTGTATGTACAGGGGTGTGGGGTGTGGGGTGTATGTACAGGGGTGTGGGGTGTGGGGTGTATGTACAGGTCGGACTTTCCCGTCGTCAAGTATTTGCTGGCAGCACATGCAGGAGAGC